AAACAATAGTGGATGATTTTGTAAACAGGAAACACCATCTCCACAGGGTAGCAAATGTTCCACCAGTCAGTAAACATAGGCAGTTCCATGTAGATTTACCAACAATAAGAAAACCAAAAAAGGAAAAAAAAGGATTAAAAATAGAAAAATCGAAAGAAAAGATCCAGGATAAGTCAGAAAAGAAGGGGGGAGAAGGGGAGAGAAGAGGGAAAAAAAAGGAGAGAAAGAGGGTCAGCCGTAGTACTATTAAGTAATAGAGATATATCTGATCCATGGTTCCCACGTCACCTCAAATCTAGAAGCATCATTATTGGTCTTATATATTGATGAAATAGAGTTTGTGAGGTGAATCCCCAAATAAGGGAGAGAACGAGGGGCCCACTGGAAGTCAAAATTGTCCTGGAGGTAATGAACCTCAGAGTCAGGTAAAGAGATATTTAAAGCAATTGTTTTAGAGGAACTAAGCGTAAGATCAGAGGCCTCAGAGAAATGATGAAACAGGTGGAGGAGACCAGGTAAAGACATTCGAGGATTAGATATATACATAAGGACATCATCAGCAAATAAGGCACATTTATGGTCTTGACCGCAGCAGATGCCCGAGATAGTGGTATCAGAGCGGATGGCAATCGCAAGTGGTTCCATTGCCAAAGTAAATAGTAGTGGAGAAAGAAGGCATCCCTGTCTAGTACCTCGCTCTATTGAAAGGGAGGCTGATTTGTATCTGCGAATGGAGACTTGAGCTGAAGGGTTAGAATATAGGGCCCGTAGTAATGTCGTAAAACAAGGGCCAAACCCTAACCTACCCAACATCTGAAATAAGTAGTCCCAAGATAAACTGTCAAATGCTTTATGAATATCTAGTGATAACAGTAAGACTTCTCTCTCTGAGGATTTGTCCCAATTGTATTGTACAGCTGACAGCAGGGCCAAAGTCCAACGAATTTGGTCCGATGTTTGTCGACCGCTGATGAATCCTGACTGATCATCATGAATATAAAGGGCCAAAACATTTGTGGAGATGTAAAGCCAGGATTTTCTTAAGAATCTTTAGATCACAATTAATGAAGGAGATGGGTCAATAATTAGTGACTATAGTAGCATCCTTGTGGGGTTTGGGGTTGATGAATGCCTTGTTTTTGTCAGGAGGCATTAGTCCCCCATCCCATAATTAAAATAATGGGCCATATGGGGAATCAGGATATCGGGAAAAAACTTTATAATAGTTATGAGAAAGACCATCTGGTCATGGGGATTTATGAGGAGCAAGAGTTTTCAAGGCACTCGCATGAGATAGGCCATCCATCGACTCCTGAAGAGAGGGAAGAGCAACAGAGCTCAAAAAGGTGTCGAGAGACAAAGAAACATCCCCCTGAGGCGAGCGATATAGGTCAGTGTAAAAAGAATGAAATTTTTGGAGAATCTTACCAGGATCTTGAAATAGAGTGCCGTTATTCAGTCTGAGTTTAGGGAGAGCCATTTGGGAATGTCTAGTGGTCAACTTGCATGCCAATAAAGTGCCTGGTCTATCCCTCTAAGTGAAAAATTTATGGTTAGACCATCGTAGCTGTTTGTCAGCAGTGGTAGTAAGACATAGATTAAGTTCCAATCGGGTTTGATCAAGTTTAATCAACAGATCCGGACTGGGATTTCGCTTATGCTGGGCAACCAGGTCAGTATATATTTGAGTTTTAGTGGCAAGTAGGTCATTTTGAGCTTTTTTTAAGTCGTGAGGAGAGTTGAATAATAGACCCCCTAACCGAGGCCTTATGGGCTGCCCAATTAATAGCCGGGTTCGTATCCTCTGCTTTATTGAGTTCAAAGTACATTTGTAGATGTGAGGAGATGTCCTGACAATATAAGGTATTACCCAAAATAGATTCATTAAGGCGCCAGTAATAAGCAGTCTTACCAGGAGTCCAGGATGACAATGTTATAGAAATCGGGTCGTGGTCAGACCAAGGTGTGGAGAGGATTTTAGCAGTGAGCAGCCTGGGGAGTGAGTGTGTATGAAGGAATATATGGTAGATGCGAGAATAACAATTATGAGCCCTAGAATAATGGGAATAATCTCAAGAAGTTGGGTTAGCTTTTCTCCAAACATCAAAAAAGTCATAACGATACAGTAGCTGGGCAAACTTACGGCTCTGTCTGGAAGGGGGCTGAAGCATGGCAGTACGGGAATGATCCAAAATCTGATCTAATGCTAAATTAGAGTCACCAGCCAAAATAACATCTCCAAATTCCGAGGCCACGGAGCTCAAAAAGGATTGAAAAAATTCCACCTGAATGGTATTTAGAGTGTAGTAGATTAAAAAAGTGAGTAGGTGTCCTTCCTAAATGGCCTTTCACCAGAAGATATCGCCCCTTTCTATCCTGGATAATTTTAGATTCGGTAAATGACAGACGGCGAGACAAGCAAAGAGCAACCCCCCATTTTTTCTCTGTAGCATTAGCAAAATAACAGACAGGATAATCTTTATGAACATATCGTGGGGAAAATGAAGGGGGAAAATGTGTCTCCTGCAGGGCAACAATGTCCTCCCCAAAAGAGCGGTATGAATTAAAAGCCTTTATACGTTTGGAGTGGGAATTGAGCCCCTGAACGTTGTGAGAAAGTAAACGGATAGATCTGCTATTAGATGCTATGAGAAGACATAATCGACAATTAAGGAGCTATATAAAATGGGAACCAATCCGCTCTCGGAGCTTAAGAATGGTCCAAAGAATCCAGATATACTGACGGCTGACCCTGGAAAAGAAAGAAGAAGAAAAAAAAAAAAGCAGAGGAGTAAAAAGAGAAAAAAGAGACATTCGGAATATAAAAATCCTCGTATCGAGTAACCAAAGGTAATATACATAATAACATAATATAAGCAATTCAAACAATATAACGGTAGTATAAGGGCTATAGCCCTGCAAAGTAATGGATCTACCCAGAGAGACCAACTCAGGGAAGAGTTTTCCAGTCGAGGAGAGCCCATAGACACTCCCCGGCCCCAACAAGAACAATAACCCATTAATAACATATCAAACAGCAGTAGAGAAAAAATAACCGAGCCCTCTGATATTGTAATCAGCTGATGGATGTGATGTAACCTTATGGTCCCCCCCTCACACCCCCCCCCCAATCCCTTCACAGCACCTGAGCAGTGGTGGCCAGTGTTCCCGAGGAACCACTGAGAAGCCACCACGTCAAGAAATCACATAAGAAAACCCACAAAGTGACATGTTAACTTCAAGAAGTCTTTCTGGGTGATTTCCGTGACTTCGTCTTCCTGGAATTTGGAGCAGTCCACAATGGGGAAAGCGGCGGAGGTCGAGAAGCTGATCTTGTTGGGGAATGGGATGTAGGACTACGGGAGATAATGCCCAGCTGAAGTAACAGTTCTTTGCCGTCCTGAAATGTAAAGAACCCATAAGGTTTTCCATTGAAATTAAATTGTAGGCAAAAAGGGTAGGCCCACTGATACTGGATATCCTTCTTCACTAAGTGGGAAAGTAGTGTCTTAAGAGATCGCTGTTTCTGGATAGTGGTCAGAAAGACATCAGCAAAAATTTTTATCTTATGTCCCACAAACTCCAGATCCAGAGTCTCTCTACTATACTTCATAACCGCTTTCTTGACCTGAAAAAAGTGTGGCTTTACGATGATATCCCTAGGAGGCCCACCTTGTCTATGTGGGATCAATGCTCTATGGATACGATCAATTTCTGTATGAAGATCATCGATATTGGGTAATGCAGACCACATGAGGGTTTGTGCGCAGCTATTGAGCTCTTAAACTGACTCAGGGAGCCCTCGAATGCGGAAATTGTAGCGCCTAGCCCGATTTTCCAAATCATCAATTTTTGAATAAGCTTCCTCCAAGCGATCTTGCAAGTTGGTAATCATATTAGAATTTTGTGATACACTATGGACTGTCGCATCAACTTTAGACTCGATACTGTCCTGGCGTTGGCCCAATTCCTGAAAATCCTGTTTAAGGTCAGCCGCAAATTTTGTTGTAGCTCTATCCAGTACGCGTTGCAGTAAATCAGCGAACCGAGCTATTAGGGTTGCATCACCTGAGTATTGTGGTGGATCTGGAAGGATTGCTGGTGAATGAGCAGGGCTATCAGTTTCAGGTTCCTGGCCACTATTCTGGCTAAAAAATATGGCCGCCATCTCACTATCCAATGGGGAAGAGGCAGGGGAATCACGGCCTAGTGAGCAGGCCAAAGCCTGGGACTCAGGTAGTGCAGGGCTGGAATAATACTGAGCGAATCTCCAATATGTTTAATATCTTTCTGAACAATCCCTCTCAAGTGGATGAAAAAAAGGAAAGAAAAAACAAATTGTGTAATACTGCATAAACTAAAGAATTAATGTTCATCCAATGTGATCAATATTTAAATGTGAGTGTAATGATGAACATTAGTTCTGTATTTTAGTTTATGCAGTATTACACGATTTGTTTTTTTTTTCCTTTTTTTTTCATCCACTAGAGAGGGATTGTTCAGAAAGATATTGAAGATATTGGAGATTTGCTCAGTATTATATAACTGTGGAGATCTCATCCCACCTCCAAAGTGTGTTTGTGATTCCTAAAGCTATTACCAACCTGGGAAATCACCTGATTGGGTGAGTGTGGGTGAATATTTGAATCACTACAGATGATTTGAGCACGTTGGGAATCACAAGTTTTTTTTTTAATTACAAGACTTTTATTTGGGACTTATTTGGACTTTCTTTCTCATTTTTTAAAATTGGTTTGTGCTGCCTTTATTTTTGTTTAAATAAAACAAAAAGTATGTAACACGCAGAGTGGCAGGTTTAACCGCCTCCCGCCCGCCATATAAGGTAATGAGGGGCGCAAGGCAGTTCTCTCGTTCTGGGAGGACATCCTATGATGTCCTCCCACTCTAACCACGCATGCGCGGCTCCGGGAGCATGCAGCGTGGTAATTGGTTTTGCGCTGTGTCCCTCGGACACATCGGATCACCAATCAATGCAAAGAGACGAAGATGTCAGCTCGGTCATGTGATCAGCGGTGTCCAATCACAGCTGATCAAATGTAAATAGGGAAATGCCGTTTATCGGCATTTCTCTCCTCACAAGTTGTCACACTGGAGAGCTGGTAATCAGCATTCCTCTGAGGGGACATCTACACTGATCATCAGGGCACTGATGATCAGTGTGCTCTGATGATCAGTGTAGCCCCAGCAGTGCCACCTGTCAGTGCCCATCAATGCAAGCTGTCATTGCCCATCAATGCCACCTGCCAGTGCCCATCAGTGCCTCATCAATGCCACATATCAATGCCTACCAGTGCATATCAATGCCACATATCAGTGCCCATCTGAGCTGCCTTTCAGTGTCATCTATCAGTGCCAGTCAGTGCCACCTATCAATGCCAGTCAGTGCCAACTATCAGTGCTGCCAATCAGTGCCACCTATCAGTGTCAGTCAGTGCCACCTATCAGTGCCAGTCAGTGCCGCCTATCAGTGCTGCTTATCAGTGCCATATATGCGCTCTGCCTTTCAGTGCCCATCAGTGATGTCTGTCAATGCCCGTCAGTGCACCTACTAGTGCCTTCTCATCAGTGCCATCAGTGCCACCTATCAGTGCACATCAGTGCAGCCTATATCAGTGCCCATCACTGCAGCCTCCTTAGCGTACATCAGTGAAGGAGAAAAAATCATTTATTTACAAAATTTTATAACAAAAATAAAGAAAAATAATTTTTTTTTCAAAATTTTCAGTTGTTTTTGGTATGTTTAGCAAAAAATAAAAAACCCACAGATGATTAAATACCACCAAAAGAAAGCTTTATCTGTCTCAAAAAAATTATAAGAATTTCAAATGGGTACAGTGTTGCATGACTGCGCAATTGTCATTCAAAATGCGACAGCGCTGAAAGCTGAAAACTGGCCTGGGCAGGAAGGGGGTATAAGTGCCCGGTAGACAAGTGGTTAAGGAGTGCAGTTTGCATAAATTGCAGGGTTTAGGAGTGTGCTATACACAAATTGAAGGGTTCGAAAATCTCTAAATCTCTCCATTTGCTTGGGGTTAATAAACTTAACCTTGCCTATACACAATATTTCTCCCTCTCAGAAAGGGTTCAGACTGCGATGTAACATATTGTTTTTGATTGTCAGACACAAGTGCATGTGAGTTGCACTCCCTGCTCAAGACTATGAAAAGAAATGAAACAATAGTGCCAGAAGTTATGTTTGAAACAATTTCTGGACATTTACTCTATGATTCTGTATCACTCTCCTAGTTAGGCTGCTATGGCAAATTTAGTTTTGGCTCCCGCTGTAGCCAGAGGATCAATGATTGCTTATTTTGGTCTGCTCAAGGCTGCACCCTCTGGAAGTTTGATTGTTTCTCCCTGCCTTTAAAAGAAGTTTCTGGTGTTTAGTTTAAATGACCAGCCTGAATATTGAGCAGGGCTCAGCCAATTCCTATGGAGGTGTGCCTAGATGGTGGCTGGTAGAACTGTTAAATAGATTGGAGTCCTAAGAAGATTGTTCTCCCCTGTGGGTATGGATCAAAGAGCTAAGGTGGAAAGGGGCTGCCTGCTCTGAAGCCCCAGGCCTAGATATTGAGCTACTTACAAGAGTTTGCACCTATGGACTGATCCTGTTCCAGGATTTTGTGAGTAGAGCCTTCTATGTGTTCTACAAGCTGCCTCATGCTCTCCAGCCCTGAACCTAGCAACTATTCTAGTCTAGACTATCTGTTCTGCATGCTGCTTTATTGTCCCCAGCCGCGAACCTATAGACTGTTCCAGTGTAGCCTATCCCTTATACAAGTTGCTTCATGGTCCCCAGCAGTGAACCTATAGACTGTTCTATTCTAGCCTATCTGTTCTACATGTTGCTTCACAGTCACCAGCTGTGAACCTATAAACTGTTCCAGTCTAGACTATCTGTTCTACAAGCTATTTCATGGTCCCCAACTCTGAATCTAGTTTTACTGCATTGGTTTACTAAATATCTCAGGGTCCCCAGCTATGAGTGAAAATAAACTGTGCTGCTGTTGTTAAGAGAACTGTCCTCTGACACTTTTGTCCCAGTGTTTTTGAGTAACCTACAACACCCTTTACTCCCCTTCCCAGTTCCTTTAAGCAATAAGCTGCAGAAAAAGGAAAATCCCTGCACTGATCAATGAGCCAGAGTGTATGGAGTGTGTGCCTAGCTACCTCTGCACAATAGTGGGAGAGAACTTGCTAACATCTGTGGCCCCTTTGGAATGCAATTCCATTAATGTTATAGAAAATCAGCAATTCACAGGTGCCTGTATGAAAGGACCTACAATATCAATAGCAAACTTCCCCTAAGAAGAATTAGGAAATGGCATTGGCTTGAGTAGAGGAGTGTGTTTATGACAGCAGATTTGTCATGATTGCAAGTAATGCATTTTTCAAGTGGCATTTAGTACATAGGAATCCATGCCTGGTCACCAGTGTACTTTTTTTTAACACCCTTTAACCAGGGTAGTTACCTAATCTTTTCTTTGTTCATACATTTTTTTGGCTACTCTCATACAGTATGCAAGTTGTATCAGGAACGCTTTCAAGATATTTGGAAGTAGTAAGCGATGAGATCTGTGGACCATATGCCATCAACTTGAGATATTTTATGTCTAATCTTATAGTAAGGTCAGAGCACAGGGCTCAGTTTATTTTCTGAGTTTTGTAATTTGCACTGCAGAATTCCTTGCAATTGTGTTTGCACTGGGAAAGCAAGACAAACTTGTTAGAAATTCAGATGCTGTAACTTCATCTATATCAGTAAATGCAACAACTTCAACATCATCATCCTGTGTACTAGGAGTAAGGGTAACTGTGAGAAACAATCAGAAGTAACGTTTTTCAAACCTAGTTGACCTTCCGACTATTCGTATTCCTGATTAACTGTGTCCTCTTGTGGTAAGCAGTATAAAAAACAATGGTTGGTCTGAAAAATTAAACTGTCAACGCCACACGTATGTTGTCCATTTTTTGTTGCCCGGACAAATGCTAGGACCTCTCTTTCTACAGTGGAATACTGTTTTTCTGCTTCTATTAGGGTTCTGGATGCAAAAGCAACAGATTTCTCTACCTAGTCCGCATGACACTGTGTAATGACCACACCAACCCCATAGTTTGAAACATCTATATTAACAATAGTAGGTATGGCAAATATTGCTGCTGGACTGCTCATGGTCAGCTGTTAATCTGTTTCAAAGTTGTGCTGGGCAATGTCTGATCTGACTATGCTTGTATTTCTGCATAATAGTGATCTCAATGGCTCCACAATAATTGCATCAAGACATCATTAGTAATACATTTGAAATACCATGAAGTAAGACCTAAAAACACATAAGGTCTGAAAGCAAGATGAAATAGGTGCTTGTATCAGTTTTTAAAAGAATATACTAATATTACTCACTAACATTACTCATACATACTGCATAAAATATATGTAAATGTTAAAATATGGATAACTGAACCACAAAATAAATCTGACTGACCTTGTTGTGGTGCGGAAAAAATCTTCTGAAGATAAACTGGCACTTGTCTCATTGGGATTTTGTTTTGAGTCCTGGATCAATGGTTTTGTAACACTTTTACAATAGGTTGTACTTGATGAACTTGAGCAATCTTTCAGCTTTACTAAATACTAGGTTACCATTTTATGATTATCCCCACTAACCTTAAAAAAAAGTCTTGCCGTACTTATTTTGGGTTTTGGCTCCATGTTTTCTTTAAAGTACAGAGGATTTTTATTAGTGGATTCTGCTACCAGCAAGGACTAGTTATCAAAGCTTCTCTGTGATGTCCATTACCTCCCATCTCAAATACCTTGGGGAAACAGCATCTGTTCTCTCTGGGGGCTGAAAAAAGAGGGCATGAAAGAAATGTCAACAGGGAGCAAAATCAATACGTGCTAGAACGTGTTTCAATTTTATTTCACAGAAGGAGAACCTGCAATGTAGTTGTCTTTTCCTTCTTGTTCAAATACAGCTAATGAACAATGTCATATTATTGTGTGATGTGCTTCTTTCCAAACTTCTATGACAAGACTCTATATTGCTTTCTCTTTTGTAATTTTTTTTTTCAAATGTCAGTGGCTGTGAAAAAATAGTTTTGTGGGTTGTCCTACTTACAGATTTATTTAGCTCTTTTATAAATGTTATTCTATGGATATGGAATATGGAAAAGGTGAACATCCTGCCACTAGCCCCAAGAAAATGATGTTTCTGGAAGGGCAACGCTGGCAACATAAGGGAAAGAAATTATCCCCTGTACAGATATGTCAAAGTAAAAGAATCCACAAAAGCATTTTTAAAAAAAATATACATATCCAGGGCTTTTTATAAGTTGGAACATGGTGGAATTTAGTTCCACCACCCCTGGTCCAGACTCTCTGCTCAATGTTCAACACTATCAGTTAAAAACACAGAAGTCCAGCTTCTGTGTTTACAAGTGACAGCTTGTCTCCCAGCGGCTCCTACAGATCTGATTTTCTGAGCAGATCCCAGTGAATCAGGATGAGGGCAAGGTAGATGCAGGTGCCTGGGGTGCAATGCGAATGTCAACATCCCCACTGGATTATCTCCCTGTAAGTGGGAGAGGCAAACCCAGCTACAGTGTACGTGTTAAAGAATACCTCCAGTTTTTCTAATAATGGAAGTTTGAGAGATTAGGAAATCTGAGTTATTATTGTAATTATTGAACTCCTTTCATGTAGATCACTGGTGTCAAACTGGCAGCCCTCCAGCTGTTGCCAAACTACAAGTCCCATGAGGCATTGCAAGATTGACAGTTACAATTGACAGTTTCGCAACACGTGGAGGATATGGAATATGGAAAAGGTGAACATCCTGCCACTAGCCCCAAGAAAATGATGTTTCTGAGAGGGCAACACTGGCAACATAAGGGAAAGAAATGATCCCCTATACAGATACAGTTGCAAGAAAAAGTATGTGAACCCCTTGGGATTACGTGGAGTTTTGCATGAATTGGGCATAAAATGTGCTCTGAACGTCATCTAAGTCACAACAATAGAAGAACACAGTCTGCTGAACATAATACTACACAAACATTAGATGTTGCCATGGTTTAATTGCACATAACATGTAAGCATTCACAGTGCAGGGAGGAAAAAGTATGTGAACCTTTGGACTTAATAACTGGTTGACCCTCCTTTGGCAGCAATAACCTCAACCAAACGTTTCCTGTAGTTGCAGATCAGACCTGCACAACGATCTGGAGTAATTTTGGACCACTCCTCTTCACAAAACTGTTTCAGTGTAGCAATATTCTTGGGATATCTGGTGTGAATCGCTCTCTTAAGGTCATGCCACAGCATTTCAATCGGGTTGAGGTCAGGACTCTG